CCCCCGCCCGGCTCCCCGGCACTGCTCCGTGTTTCTGGGTTTGGGGTTGCTTTTCCTTTCTTTCTCCGAGGTCTGTATAGGAACGGGGAAACTCACTTCACCCGCAAGCCACCCCGAGCCTGCTCTGCCAGCGGCGAGCGCTGCGCCGTGCCAGCCTGACAGCGGGTACAGAGAAGCCAAGATTCTTTTTTTTCCTTTAAAGATCACCTAACCCAGTCGGCGATCGCCCCGTCCCACTGCCTTATGCTGGTGCTCAGTAGCACGTCGTGGAGGCTTTTACCCAGCCGAGGAGGCAAGACGTCCTCCCCGTTCCCCAGGAAATATTTCCACAATCAAGGGTGGTTTTTTGATTAGAAAAGAAACCTGTTTGGAAGTCTTTGGAAACCCATCTAGAAAGTCACTGGGATTTTTCCCATTGGGAAAAGTTTGGATCTGGTTCGGTTCCAAATCCTCAGCTACATGTGCAGGGCACATGGGGTGCAGCTGCAGAAGGTCTAAGCCAGTCTCTCAGTTCAGGAAAACAGTGGGACCCATGCCCAGGCTGCTGGCAGCACTGCCAGCAGTTCGGCCACAGAAACACAAATACTTGCTCCATAGTTCCTACGTGAGTTCAGGCAGAAATTTAAAGTCTCTTACTGCACAGGGCCTTCCGTGACGCTCCACCTGGCTGTTTGCTCCAACGGACGCAGTCACGCTGCCTTTACTACACTCAGAGTGAAGATTGCAATAGAAAGATGTGCTGCTGGGTGTGGTAGGAGTGTGAGAGTAGGAAGAAACTCAGCAATCTTCCCGCCCACACACAGCAACACACCTTGGCTAGAGACACGGGCGTTCAGTGCTTTTGGTCTTAGCAGCAGCAAACCGTGAGTGCTTTCAATCCTTCCACACTGGCGGGACTTGGCGTGCTTTACGAGCGCTCAGGCACTCTGCAAACAGGTAGAATAAAACCATTAGACAGTAGAGGCAATGTAGAGACGAAACTTTAGTCCAAGACAAGCCTGTTGTTGTCTTACGAGCAGTCCCACAGCACCACTCGGTACACAGAGCTGGAACAGACGCGCACTTACAAAGTAGTGGCGTCACTCCACATTAAACCCAAAGCTGCAAGCTGCAGACGAGCTGGCACATGCAAGGATTAGTTGGCTGGAAAGCACCAAAGCCTCTGAATCAGCAAGGTCGTGTGCTGATAACGCATAGTTCAAACTCATAACATCGGAGTTTGGTGGAGGGACTCTGGCCTAGATATTTGGAAATGCAGATTACATTGTTATAGTGGTCTTTGTGACCTTCCAGTGCAGTGTGTAGCCTGGCAGACACGTTCAGTGTCAACAAGCTGCTTGAACTGCACGCCATAAATCTGTCACTCAACACCTTGTCGTTTCCACATGTGAGTAAAGAGGTGTCCTGAGTTTCTGAGAGCTGTGGGGATGTGCAGTTATGGTGTCAGCACGGGTGGCTGTTCAGAGGGACACCTGAATGAGTCCAAAGGTTTTTTGGTTTCGGCTGCCGCCAGCAACAAAAGCGCCATGCGGCCGCCCCTCCCCCTGCCAGCGTGCGGAGGAGAATGGAAAGAAAGAGGCAGAAACTGGTGGGTCGGGATAAGGGCAGTTTAACAGAACAGCAAAGAGAGGGAACAGCAACAACAACGGTACAGATAAGGAGCTCACATGGTGTGGGGTCAGCCCCCACCCCCCGGCTGTGCCCCTTCCTGGAGACCGGTGAAAATTAACCCTGTCCTGGCCAAACCCAGGACAAAAGGCCAACAGAGGCAATGTTGAGTCATATCAGTAATTTGCTGGCTTATCCCCACGGTGGTCTCACAGGGTCCCTGGTCACGCTTTCGTGCCTTTCCCACCGGGTCGTGTGCCAAGTGATCAGCAACGCTGACCCATCTGACTCCGTCCGGGACAATGGGACGTTGGATGACTTCTGGGTAAATCGGCTGGAAAGCAGTTATGGATTCTGGATTGGCCTGGGCTTGGCTGTCTTCTCCAGCTTCCTCATCGGAAGCAGCGTCATCCTCATGGAGCTGGGAGGCACCAGGGCAGGTAAGGCTTCTGGGGGGGCAGGAGGGAGAAGGACGACCTGTTGCCAGAACCACACGCATCATCCAAACTCTAGCACTGGTAAGGCAAGGGAACACCTCTGGGTACACATGTCAGCCTGCCATCAGCAACGTAACTAAGACCTTTTGTGGATGCATTTTTGCGTGTGAGACCCAGAGAGCAGTGCTGTGCTGGAGCTGAGGAGCTAACTTACAGAGCTGCATATTGGAAGGGCTGGGCTAAAAGCAGCATTCCCTTGCCTTGCACCACAAATAGCAAGTCACGTGCACTGTGTGATCAGATGTGCACCCACCAGAAGAACAATACAGGCCCATCACAGCTCTTACATGGGAAAGTGCGAGGCCAGGAGGAAGCGGAGTGCTGAAAGCATTTTGAAGTGGGCCCCTTTGCACAAAGGTACATCACCGTGGCACAGACTGGAGCAGAACAGCACAGCTCTTTGACCCCACTCTCCGTCTTACTGATGCACTAGACAGCTTTGCCACCAAGTTGCTGGGACAAAGATGCAGCCCCACGTGCTTTAATTGCATTAGCAAGAGCCATTTATTAATGCAGGACTGCATGCCTGCGATCTGTGTGAACTCTTCTTGTGGCTTTCAAAAGGGTACTTGTGAGGTATGTTGCTCAGCAATGCTTAGATAACTTCCCTCTAGCACCAAGCTCTTAGGGCGAGGCTTGTGTTTATGTGCCTGTATATACAGATGGGAAATGGTGGAGGAGCACTGCCTGCAGCGGAATTGCACCGTGGAGTTGGACGCACCGCATCAGCATGGCAAACGTGCTCTAGCAGCAGCGTTAGTCCTACCTGGCAGCTGACCTACTTGCATAACTACAAAACAAAATAATGATAATTGAAATACTACTGCTTCCCAGTTCTGGCCTAGGAACAATTCTTAAATCATTTTACAAAGGAAGTAAAGATCACCATCCCCATTTTACTGTGTCCCCATATGGGGACACAGAGGCATGGGACGATGGGGTAACCTTCCACAGCCAACCAGCAAAGCTACCAACAGCACCTGAGCCACAGGCCAGCCTCAAGTCCGTCTCCATCCTCCACCATTCAGCTGGCCCCACGCAACTGCTGAACTCAGAGATGGGTTGGCTTTTTTGGCATTATATTCACACAATGAAATATCAGTATTGTTTAAATTGTAGATGTGTCTCTCCTCCTTCCGTCTATGAACTCCTCTCACAACAGAGCCAAGCGAGTAAGACAAGAGCAAACCCTTCCCTATTTTTCAGGATGTTTAACCAGGAATTAGAGGTTAATAACATAAAGCTGCAGCTGACAAAAAGAGTTCTTAAGAAAAACAAACAAACAAACAAACCCAGAAATTTCTAAGGAATACCAAAGCATAACATTTGAACTTGAGTGTCTGTGAACTTGAGGAACCAGAAGAGGCTGAATTCTAGCAAATTCCTGTCTGTCTCTTCATTCCCCCATTCCCTATCTTGCCCTTTAGTCTCTCAGTTCCAGCGTTTCAGCCCTGCTATCTGAGCACACCACTGTTCCCCAAGGCAGGTCAAATGCTGCTGTTACTGACAGCTTTGGTCAGGTCAGACATCTCAAAAACATGATCTCTCTCTGACCCAGGAAAATCAGGGTTCACAATGTCTGCAGGCTCAAGCTCTTTACATCTAACAACTTGTGGGTTAAGACCAGAGCTGGATTAGTTCCGAAAACAATTATGTCGATTCTTCCTCATTTACATGCATATTTTCATTCTTTTAGTTGTTCCAACGCCAGGAATCATTTTTCATCAGAAGCGCTCAGTCACCTGATGACTGTTCCACATAAAGCCAACATCAGGATTTCTGGCAGTTCAGGCTGAGGTCTGACGATACAACTCTGACACAAAGCAGTGTACAAAAGAAGCAGATAGCTTCTGGGACAGGACGCAGGAAGCCTTCACCACAACCGTGCAGCAACACGAACCATGGCACCACGTGCCCACACGGAGCAACCGACCAGTTTTTCCCCTCTTCATCCTTCATAGCTATAACCCCCCCTTGAGCTAGTTTTGGAAAAACACATGGCCTTACCTTAATGCCCCTGTGCAAGACTCGTCAGCGAGCCATAGCGATGCGAGGTGAAGCGCAGGCTCCCCGCGGGTGGGATGCAGGGTGGCAGCGTCCCAGGGAGCAGCCTTTGGGTGGGGAGCACCCAGCACAGAGCAGCCCCTGCCATCCTTCGTCCTTCTCATCCAGGAGTACCCCACAGGGAGCAGGCAAGTGGAACATGCAAGATGAGACACGACCAGACCGTGAGCGCTCAGCTGGGGTGTTCATTGCTGGCTGTAGGGACCGATGCACCCTGACAGACCAGCGAGGATGACTGCAGCTCTCAGGGCTGAAGGGCAGCCTGCAGGCTGCACCCCAGGCCAATAACCTCTGTGGCTTTGGGGCAGTGGGTGCACTTCCCATTGCTGACCAGGATTAAACAACTGCTTTTATTTTATTTGCATTGTCCAGTCCTAAGTGCCAGCTTCCACTAATGCTTTGACTCAACATAATGCAATTTCTGCGCAGGATGCCATGTCTGCATATTCTGTCCTTCCAGACCATTTTCTTTGTCACACTCTGCCCCTTGCAGTTTATCCCTCTCCAAAGGGACATTTCTCATCTCTTTCTCTGAAGAACATGGTTGTTAACTCCTCTGTACCTGTGTGTTTTACTTCTCCAGGAGATGGAGGCCATGGCTACCTGAAGGACTGGTTCTGGTGGGCTGGCTTGTTAACCAGTAAGTAGAACCCATTTCCCTGGGTTTCCAGCTTTTCCAGGGTCTGTCTCCGTGAATCAGGTGTGGAATGAGCTCAGCATCTGGTGGCTCCAAGCCTTTTTTCTGGTGAGGTCCCCCATCCTCCACAAAGGTACCTCAAGGAGAGCAGAGGCAGTGAGCCATGCAGGATCTCCCCCACCATGCTCCTGCAGGGCTGGTAGCACTTGCTAGCTCAGTTTTACCCACTCAAAAGCATGAAAAGGCAGGTTTTAATAAAGCAGATGGCTGGTCTGTCTGTGTACCAGGCACAGGGCAAACAGCCTCCCATGTGTGCCCAGGGCTCTGGGAAAGCTTACTGCCGCAGCAGAAGGGAGATAGCAAGGACTAGCTTGTGTTGGCAGCAGCTCCTTTCTTGAGCAAAACTTGCTTTGCCTTAGAGCAAGCCTTAAATCCTTCTTCTCATGCTGCAACATCACAGTATCTTCTCCAGCTGAGCTCACAGCTGTGCAAAGAGCAGCAGAGAGATTTTCAGAGCAGTCTTGTCCGGCTCTCACTGTTGCAGCAGCTGCTCAAGGTGCCCCCACCTCGCTCTGCCCTTGCAGCTCCTCCTGCACAACCACCGGTGCACAACCACCGGTGCACAACCCATAGGCAAGCACCCAACACCCACTGCTGAGGGGACGCAGCCAGCTCAGCCAGAAGGTGACACTGCAGCCCCGAGGAGACACTTTGTAGATGTAGGGGCCCCCACAACTGCCCACCCCCTCAGTAATTGCCCAGACACACTGCAGCTGCCTGGCTGGGCTGTGGGGCTTTGATGAGCTCCCATGGGTCAACTGTGAGGTGGCCAAGCCCTGGCACCCTCAGCCTTTCTCCACAGGGGTGTGGGGCTCCAGGGGTGCCTCTCTGCTTCCATCCATTCGCAATGGAGAGATTTTCACCCACTATCTGGCCCTGTTTAGAAGCAGCATGAAACCTCCATGATAAAATCCATTCTCTAACTGATGTCTTACCACTTCACAAGCCCACAAGAGAAAACAGAAAAAGTATGCTGTACCTCACTGGTATTTATTTTCCTTCTGTTTGTTTAGTGGGTGGAGGGGAAGCTGCCAACTTCGCCGCCTATGCCTTTGCTCCTGCAACTATAGTCACGCCACTGGGAGCTCTGAGTGTGCTCATAAGGTGATTTATGTGTCTACAGTTTGCAAGTTGCCTTTTTTTGTTTGCCTGTTTGTCTTGTAAGATAGAAAGATTTGAAGTGATGCTAACATGAAATATTCTGCTGATAGCAAAAAATGTCTGTTTTCTAAAAAAAGCTCTAACAATTGTTTTTCTTTGGGGGGGATTGTTTGGAAACCACTGAATTAAGTAGCGTGCCCTTCTGGAAGTGCTGCATGCGAATAGCAGCCACATACACTTCAGGTTAAATTATCAATAAATATCAGTGTTACTTCCTTCCTTTTTCCAGCTCTTTAGCCAATGCGATGATGGGGTTTTTTAGTTTGGTAGTGAACAGTACTAAAAATTCTGAAGGGGTCAATAATAACAGGCTTGTTTTAAACTGTCTTACATTCGGCTTTTATTTTCCTGGCTCTGATGTTGTGGTTTTATACTGTTGCCAAAAGGGCTGAAACCCTTTTTTTTTGTTAATTTTTAAAAAAGAGATTCATATAAAAACACATGACTCCGGGTACTAAAGGTTTTTAGAAGGACTGTTGTTGTAAAATGCATAAGCAAACTGTGTGTTGGGACTCTTCTGGTATCTTGCCCCAAATTTTTATGGACAACAGCTAGGTATTTTTGCAGATATATCTATAGTCCCAGTACCTTCAGAGTTTCTCTGGGGCTTAATAGTTCTAGATTTAGTTAAAATTAAGGTAACTCTTTTGTTGTTAGGTTATTTTTTCTCTGTTATGCTGGTACTTGAATTCATTTCCTTGGGCACTAAATGCTTCGTAATGTGCAACAGCTCATTAGCGAATCTGGAGACCCGAAAATATTTCTGAGAATGCGCTAACACATTCAGCATTTTTTTACCTTGCTGATGCATGAGCTGTGATCTACAGGTCACACCTGCATCTCTGCAGGTTCAACTGTCAGTAGATGCCACACGATTGTGTACTAACACACTGGAATCCAACAAATTTCATCCAAATTTGTGTCTTTGTATCACATGAAGGCGTTCTTTACCATATTTTTAACTGATGTTCCTTCTTTAAAGGACTTTAAAGCACCAGCTGATGTTATTTTACTGTCCCATGCAGTGCCATCCTGTCTTCGTATTTGCTTGGAGAACGGCTCAACCTGCTGGGAAAGCTGGGCTGCATGCTCAGCCTCGTGGGCAGCACCGTGATGGTGATACATGCCCCAGAGGATGAGGAGGTCACCACTCTGGATGAACTGTTGTCTAAGTTGAAAGAGCCAGGTACTCAGGAAGTTGTGTTGTCTCTTTTGGAGCTGGGCAGTGTGTACTGCTCTGTCCCCCATCCATTCTCAGTTTTGAGTCATTTCTCTCCCTCTTCCAGGTTTCCTTGCTTATGCTGCGATCCTCTTGGCTGTCTGCCTCCTCCTGATCTTCTACCTCGCACCCCGCTATGGCCAGAGCAACATTCTCATCTACCTCACCATCTGCTCCGTTATTGGTGCCTTCTCCGTGTCCTCGGTCAAGGGCCTGGGTATTGCCATCAAGGGCTTCTTTGCTGGCCAGCCTGTGCTGCAGCACCCATTGACGTGGATCCTAGTCATTACGCTGGTGGCATCCATCACTACACAGATTAACTACCTCAATAAGTCTCTAGACATTTTTAACACCTCTTTGGTGTTTCCCATTTACTATGTGCTGTTCACCACCATTGTCATCACAACTTCCATCATCCTCTTTAAGGAGTGGGTCACCATGACTGTAGTGGACATCATTGGGACAGTTTGTGGCTTCCTCACCATCATTTTGGGGGTGTTTTTACTTCATGCCTTCAAAGACATGGACGTAAGTTTAGAGAATCTACCACAAGTCCTCCAGGGTGGACAGCAAGCACCAGCCACCCAAGATGACAAGAACATCCTGATAGAGGTGGACAACTCCAGCATCGCCCCAGAGGATAAACCCAAAGTATTCGTGATTTACACCTAGCACGTTATACCTGAGGGTCTGGGGATTGGGTGAATGAGTTGATGGCAATATTTCAGATGCTAATGAGCAATTTAAAAAAGCAAAAGCAGAAAATAAAACCAACAGTGTCTTATCCAAAGCTTGGTAAGGTCAAGCCAAGGGATTTTGGATTGGATCTTTCTTATGGTGTGGCAGCAAGGGGTATATCTAATCCTCACTGGGCTTTAATACATGCAGCCACTGAAAATAAAAATCCTCTTGAAATATGATACTCCTGGGACAAAGCTCCACTGTGAGGCCCCTTCCCATCACTTATTCTTGGCAGGAATAATGTTTACTCTTGCACTCCTTCCCCTGGGTGGCCATTGATGTGTTTATTTCCAGGCCCTGATTAAGTCACTAATCGGTGGTTTCCCCCTTTCTAGACGCTTGCGTGACCGGTAAAATACACACCAGTATCTCAAACGGAGGTGAGAGACGAGGATTGAAGGGCGTACGGCTACTATTCAGACTCTGCTCATCCATGTTAAATTACTTGCTTGGCAAACATGGGACAAGAATATCGGTGAATATGGGAACAACATGGTGAATTTTGGAGAAAAAAGCCATAAAGTGTTTTTACAGGCCCGTGGCAGAGAAGTCTTTTTCAGCTTTTTTTTTTTTCTCTTTGTGAGGTGCAGGAGTTTCCCTGCAGCACAGCATTAATTAGTTTTATGTGGGTTTTTGTTTGTTTGGGTTTTTCCCTTAGCAGCTGTGGTGCCCAGGCTGTGTTGATGTGGTTGGTGAAGCTCCTGGGCCTGGTCCAGACCTGACCTGAGCAGGGAGCAGCCCCTGCTCAGGCTGGGAAGTTCTGCACGGTAAACCCTGTGTCAGGAGAAACACTGCCAAAATCTTCAAGAATTTTTGTGGTCTGTGAAACACTTTTCAGCCTGAAAGAGCGAGTGGCTGTAAATTTTAAGGTGGTAATTTTGTTTTCCTTAGCAAATGACTTGACCTTGGAGAGCCCCCCAACTGTCTGAGGCCCGTGACCTGTCCTGCTATCACTTAAGCCCAAAAGCTTTTTTATTGTTGTTGTTTAGAGGGAGGTACAAGCTGTGTGTTAAAAGCCAAACAGGCATAAGAGGGTGATGCTCTGCAGAGCTGTAGGGATACAGTTTATCCCAGAGTGGTCCCGTTCACCACTCTCAAGCTCTCTCAATATAATATGAATATTACCTAGACTCTTGCTCACAGCTCACCTTCAAAACCCCCTTGGATTTTTATCAGTGGTGAGGATGAAGTGATGAAAGAAATAACATTTTCAGCTGGAGCGTGAAAAGGGAAGGTATTACCACAGTTAGAAGTTTCTCCCATCTCGCTGCTAGGTATTGTAGCACAGGGAGACTGGAGCCCATTTGCTCACAGCAAATCCCAAACCAGGAGCAGCGAAGCCTGAGCTGGCTTTGCCAGGCTGGCTTGGTCCGGAGGCAGCTCTGGCTGGGTTAGCCCTGGACCACGGCACACACTGACACCATCTGAGATGCTGACCTGGTTATATCTGGCTCTGAGCATCGCCAAGCAAATGAAACTTGGGGCTGGGGGGTGATGAATATGCAATCTCTTGCTTTAGTAACATTTCAGTACTTTTATTTGGAAAGTGGAAAGGGAAATAAAGTCTTTTTCTAACGAAAAACTTTGCTGGTGGATCTGAAAGTTTTTAGTGGTGTCTCTGGTCTTATTGACGTAGCTCTAAAGGATAAACAGGTTGAAGGACAGCCGAGTGCAGCAGGAAGAGCATCGGGGCAGACTGAGACAGCAGCGACCTCCTTCGGTAGCATAAAATAATCCAAGTAAATCACCAGCTTTGTTTTTAGCATCCTAATTGGTGTAATGCTTTATGCATTTTGTTTTAGAAATAGATTGCAAACAGGACTCATCCTTCTCCCTGCCTAGAACTGCATTTCATAAAAGCCATTCCTCCAGCTACGCTGCCATCTCTGGACAAACGCCACACAGAAGGAAGATTTGAACCAAGGTGACGAAATAGCTCACACTGACAGACTATTTGTTAATGACAACTGACAAATTTATTAAAACTAGGCAAAAGGCACAATGAATTGCATTCTTCAAGTATTTGCATAGATGCAGAGAGCATTATTGTAAACCATTAATATGTGGACACAGGAGAAAGTGAGACGTATTTTGGTATATGTTCTCCCAAGTAACATTATCTTGCAAAAAAATAATGTTTTACCATCTTTTACTCCTCCTGCAGTTCCTCTGTTCTCATTCGCTCGACTTTCACACGTATGAAAATTTAAAAGCACTTACTTAAAACTTCCTTTTGGAGACTTTATGATATTCCAGCAATAAGGTTTTCCATGAGGGTTTGGACATATCCAGTTGATCTCTGAGCTTTGTGTGTCCTGGGGAATTTTTTAAAAGCTTGATCCCGTGCTCACATGAAATGCACTGAAAATACTCTTAGTGATTTTTGTTGGCCATTTGTTAAAGGTTAGGGGCTGTAGCAGAAGGATGCTGCTGTCTTCAGTGAGGGCTCAGATAAAAGATCAAGCTCTTGTGGTTGAATCTGTACTACCACAGTGTATGTACAGCATGTGCCCAGCTTACTGAGCAGTAAAACACGCCATTACACAGCCACATTACCTGCACCCCACGAAACAACAAATTTGGGGGTTGTTTGAATATAGATTGTTTATATGTAATATACCCCAACTATAGAAAAAGACATATAAAGAATAGAAAGCTGACATCTTTCGCTTGCCATCCCTTATTTCAGAAAGAAGTATTTTAGGTTGGTTAGTTTTCCAGGCATATAGAAAGTAAGAAAATGTCCAAAGTGATCATGATAAGGATCAATCAGAAATTCAAGACACACCCTGTGTACTGTTTCCTTGTGGAGAAAGAGGTAGTAAAGTTGCAAAAATTAGAGTGGTTTAAGTCATCCTACAGATATACTGCTACATGTAACTACAAATTTAATGAGTGCTCAGAGTTTATCTGTTGGTTTTTTTTCCAATCAGTAGAGCTTAGGGTAAGAGAACCATCAGAAAAGACTTCTTTTCTTTATGCCAATAATACAGTTTGTCACATGTGCAGCAGCAATCACACGGTTTGAGGATTTGTCCGTAATAAATCAGACACAACAGAACTGTTGTAACCATAGCTCCAGAATTCCCTGTGTTCTCCTAGGAAATCATTTCAAGGAAAAAAAAAGAAAAAAATTTGGCATAACAAAAAGTCTTAATTTAAAATCCTGAGAAAAAAATATAAAAAAGCCCAAACTATCAGGAGAAAAAAACCCCAAATTCATAAGGGAGGGTCCTTGGGGTCAGAACCATCAGCTGGTTAAAGTGCACACAGACAGCTCTTTCCATCCACATCTTGGAGAAAAACCCTGGAGTAAACAAGCTGCCCTACAAAAGCACCATATGTTGCATTAATATTTCTGCTGTTTTACCACCTGGGCAATTTTAAGGTAGGTTTCTCACTGGTATGGGGAGCAGAGAGCCTGTGCTGAGTTGCTGCTCAGCACAGACCGATGTCTGAGGAGACACGTGTTAGAAGTGTCTACTGACCCATGGTACCGTATGTGGGAGAGGAGGCTTCAGCACTGCCTGCTGCTGAGCTGCCTTCCAGCCACTCGCGCCATAACTTGGCCAGAGAATCTCCCTGTCGTACCTTGACTGTGTCCCAGCGACACGGATGGGAGCGCCCGGGCCACGCTGGGGATGCTGTCAGGTCCTACAGCACTGAGGCGAGACAAGCGAGTGCTGGAGGACAGAGAGGTTGCAACGTTCTTGCTGAAGACAGTTACATGGGAAAAATAATTAAACCACTCTGTTAAAGCTAATCAAAATCCACAGTGACCCACAAGTTGTTTCAACCGGGAATATTTCCCTGGTGTGCTCCCTGTTGTGGCCCCACTTGCCACCCACTGTAAACTGAGAATAAGCTGAAGAAAGTTATCAGCGGCTGCCTTCTGCTCTCCCAAGAGGCAGCGGTTTCTGTATAGCACCAGCGTATGCTCCTGCAGCTGCGGGGATGGGCTGAGGCAGCCAACAGGGCTGGGTCTTACATGAAAGCCCATCAGGGTCGGCACCTGCACTGACAGCTTGTTCTCCCTGGTAACACTTAAATAACTGATTAAAAACACGTGAAGCCCCCATCACCCCACCCCTGCATTGGATATTGCACAATAATATTTAAATACCGTATAAACAAGTCATCCCTATATGGAAAAGGCCATCAGCAGAGACGGCTGAGTTCAGCTTGGCGTGTACCAGCGCCGTTCCTGGGGGCACTCCTGCCAAGCCTGGCTGCAGCTCGTTGAGTCACATAGGAAACGGGTGAAGCTAGAGGAGAGGAACTGAGACACTGTCTGTGGCTGCAAATGTTTTTTGGTGTGATGAAAGCCTTCCAGTCCCCTGTGAAGGTCAGAGCCAGCTGGGAACTGCTTCATGAGTGCCCACTGGCACCCGGTCGTCCCACTTTCAAGAAGTTTGCAGCACCAGCCGTCCTGACGCCATTATTCTGGGTGAGATGGAAAATGGGGAAGAGAGAGAGGGGTCAGCACTGGTGAAAGAGCAAACACTACCCTGTCCCTCTCCAGAAGCTGATGTTACAGTGGGCCAGGAGAAACCTGTCTCCAGTCACATGCATTTGCACCCCAATGCATCACGTAGGAAACTCTCACACCAGGAGCACAGTGAAGTTCATGCAGTTTTTTCTATTTTTTACAGCTGGCCTCAAGTATGTTGTTGGCTGGAGGCAGCACCTGTGGTGTGCCGAGTGGAAGTGTTTTGTGTGAAGGAGTCCAGCTTGGGAGCTGAGCTCAGTGACTTGAAGTCCCTTATTAACTGTCCTTTTAAGGACACTCGTGGGAAACACTACCTGCAGAGAAAACGTCTCCTTAGCCGTGGCTAAAGAGGCTGGAGAGGGTTTCTCTTCCATACTGGGGGTCCTCAAATCTTGCGTGGACCTTCTGCTGCTCTTCACTAACCACTCTGGGTCACACACCC